TTATTTGCTCGCTCGATCTTTGACGATTCTATTTGACGGAAGAGGAACAATAATTCAATAAAAGTACAATGCAATACACATCTTTTGGTGGTAATAAACAGATAGTTTTATTCAATTACATACTTGAATATTTGTCCGTGTGGTGACGGATTAAGAATACAGAGTGTCACCACCCCTATTCATCCCGTGGGTGTCGTAAGAGCCGACAAAGGGAAAAAACTACGCAGAACACCAGCACTGCAGAGAGAAGGAAAACTTGACACAAACCCTATACCAACCCGTCTGGCCAGCGTGGCATAGTAGGCCAAAACCTCCTTTCTAAGGAGAGGCTTATGTCCAGCAGTGGACTGTTAAAGGCTGATGATGATACTTGAATATTGAGTGCCTTAGAGCTTTTGTTGAATGATCATCATAATCCCTATTGTACTCGAAGTCAACCCAGAACTATTCAAGTTGCGAAACACCGTCCCACAGTATAAGTACAAGAATAACTATATATATATATAATATAATATTGTACCACATTCACACAACGCCATCTAGTCCCAAACTAAGCAGAGCTTGTTCTATGGCTACTAGACAACTGATATAAATACTTATGTATATTTTTTTTTGTAAATTCATACATATTATACATAGAAACACCCAGACCAAATCAAACATTACATGTTCATGCACACAAATGTTTGACTTGAGCGGGAATGGAACCCGCGACCTTTGAAATAGCAGTACGTTACACAAACGAAAAAAATATCCATTAAAAAGCGTCTTATTATCCATTCTTTAATTTTCCATCCTTAGCGCTGGTATTTTTTCTTCAAATTTGAGTGGGCTTAAATTGAAATCATACCCTTCCAAATAAAAAAACAATTTTCTAAATAGGTTCATAAGTTACGGAGTTTTGTGGTAACAAAAAAAGAATACAGTCGAATTGAGAACATACCTACATAGAGTGGGAATGTTCTCAATTATTATTCTTTTTTGGAGTCTGTTAACACAATACAATTAACTTGTAATTTTTCTTTCTAGACTGATTATAAACTAACATTGAGAGTACAAACATCGACCACTATGTAAACGTGTAGATATAGTACGGCAGAAATAAGTAAGTAATAAAAAAACATTAGTTTCCGATATACAGACATGTTCTCCTAGATATTCGTCTTTCCTTTTCCTTAGAACAATTTCGGAGTTCACTGTCCTCACTTGGTCAGGTATTAAGCGAACAAAATGCGCTGCTCATAATTTCGCAAGCGGGCGTCGAAATAAAAACGGACATTAAATTTTGGGATGGTTTTCATTAATTTTTTTACAGTAGCCCGAGCAAGTGATTTCATTTTTAATATTTAGGCAGATGATCTAAAACTTTTTAATGTTGCCAACAAAATTAAATGTATAATATATTTTTGTATTTCCTATAGTACCTGTAGATCTTGGAATCTCGGTCCGTGTAGTAACGGATTAAGAATACGGAGAGTCACCATCCCTATTCATCCCGTGGGTGTCGTAGGAGGCGACTAAGAGAGCTAACGCAGGACAATCAGCACTGCAAAGAGAAGGAAAACTTGACACAAACCTTATACCAACCCGTCTGGCCAGCGTAGTATAGTAAGCCAAAACCTCCTTTCTAAGGAGAGGCCTATACCCAGCAGTGGACTATTAAAGGTTGTTGATGTGATGATGATGATGATGATATCTTGGAAGACTGTATTCTTCTAAACTGTGGAAGTAGATATCTTCAGATTCCTTTAGAACAGAAGATTTTCTACTAAAGTTCTATCTTTATCCCTTAATTTGTGTTAATTCAAACTACTATCCTCATTTTCACTTGATAAGTTATTAGAAACGGGATGTTTACCATGTTTATTTTCGGGAATTAGTTTCCGATTTTCGGCAGTAGTTCGTTCATTCTGAGTGAATGAACGAACTGAGTAACTGCGGGTGAAAAGTTTTTATTATTACGAGCAGACAAATCTGTCTACCCTCTTTCTAGTTCGTATACTACGCACGTGAATGTCGGAAAGTTTTTGTTTTAAAAGACAACACTCACTTAAATTTGCACTTGACTTTACAAACACTTATGAAACGTACAAAAAGAACACCCAGGCTTAGAATAGGAACTTGTGGATTACGCAAAGTGTTGTTCCATATGGAGATCGAACCCAAAACACTTAGCTAACTAAGAAGCGGTGAGGTGACCGCTTAAAACACTATTTGTGCAATCAAACTATTAAAAAAAAGCATGACAAGAATCCCGTTTAAAATGACCCCCTAAACTTTAATAATTTACTACCAAAGGAAATTGTTCTTTTGACGTACCTCTGTGTTGAGTACAAAATTATATTTATATTATACACACACACACACACACACACACGTACACACACCCAAACACACTATTTTACCTATACAATTGTAAAGTTAACCCTAAAACTCAAATTTCGTGTTTAAATTACATGATGTGGTTATCTCTGGTTAGGCAACGTGTGGTCACAACTCAAGTGGATTACCTGCGGTCGCATCCTTTGAGGGTTAACTCTGTAACCCTCACGGAGAAGTTGGAGTCATGTTATACATCCTATCAGATTATGATGTTATATTTATTTTATTAACCTGTAACTGTTACGATAGTCTTCATTTAAATCAAAATGTCTGCCGTGTAGTTCGTTTTTTAAAAAGTAAAATTATCATTTTTCTGACATCTGACATACAACGCCATCTTGTTTCAAACAAAGCAGAGCTTGTACTATGAAAGCTAGATTGACTGATAGAATACTTAAATACTTTTTTTTGTAAATACATACACATAATACATAGAAAACACACCAGTATAAGTCACCACCCCTATTCATCCCGTGGGTGTCGTAAGAGCCGACTAAGGGAGAAAACTACGCAGGAAAACAGCACTGCGAAGATAAGGAAAACATGAAACAAATCCTATATCAACCCGTCTGGCCAGCGGGGTATAGTAGGCCAAAACCTCTTTTCTAAGGAGAGGCCTATTTCCAGCAGTAGACTGTTATAGGCTGTTGATGTGATGATGTGACACAAACCACTACGCCATCCGGTCGTCAAATAGTGTTGGGACGTGAAGTGTGTATCGAAAATAACGATATTTATATAGAAAAGGGATTATAATTATACTTTAAAGGATACTTGTCCATAATTTTAATGAAACAAATATACATATGGTATCATTATGTCTTATTATTTATTACTTTAACCAAGACCAAACTTGACCAAAAGACAAAAATAAAGTATAGGAAAATTGTCTAAGTTTTTCAAATAGGTACTTGTTTAATTAAAACCTTGATGGCAAATTATTTTTAATTTCAATTAAGACCATACTAAGCAATTTTATTTCATTTATTTTATTCAGAGAGAGAAAGAGAGATGATTTCAAAGAAACTTAATTTCTAGTGCACCTACTCAGACATTTCCCCACCACCCAAAGGTAGACTGGGAGAAAATGCCTGTGGCATTAAGTCCGCCATTGTACAATGAATTGTTTGTGAAAAAAACTTTAATAAAAAAGAAAGAGATGACCTCTTTCTTTAAACTTTTCTATCATCACAAACATACAAGCTTGTTTTTTCTTTAAACTAGCTGTAACAAATATTCCTTCTAATAATAATAATGATAATATACCTCACACATTTTTTTTTTTTTTTAAAAAAGACAACGCCCGCATTAGGAATAAATCCTGTGTCGCGGGGCACTTTACAAACATACATGAAACGGACACAAATAACACCCAGACTCAGGACAACAATTTATGCATCACACAAAGTGTCGTCCCATGTGGGGTTTGAACCCACAACACTAGGCGTAGTAGTAAGCGGCGTGGCGACCGCCTAAACCACTACGCCATCCGTGCAGTCAACATGTCACACGTGGCCGTCCCAAACTAGGCAGAGCCTGTACTATGGTTACCAGACTGTTGATAAACATACTTATATATTTTTAAATACATAAATATCATAGATAAATTACACCCAGACACAGAACAAATGACCGTGCTCATCACACAATATTTGTCTTGGGTGGGAATCGAACCCACGACCTCCGGCTTAGCAATCAGGGTCACTAACCACTAGACCAACAAGCCCGTCTGAATTATCTATCCACAAAACTACTGAAACTGAAAATATTTGTAAACGAAGACTTCATAAAGCACGATAAACGTTATCAATGCCTCGAATAATATTATTTTATACGATAACTACAATCCTACCCACTATCGTTATCAAAATCCGGCCGGAACATTTACGCTCGGGCCAGAATTTCAACAATTGTATTCATCTGGCTTTGTTCAAGTGCCAAGTTTTTGAATTACTACCCCATGTAACTTACACCCATATTTATACGGGATTCATTTTATTAGAGATTGGGATTTTATTTTGGCGTGGTTTGTACGGTTTTGCAGGGTTTAGAAAGTTTTAATATGGTCTTAGTTCGATTTAGATAAAAAAAAATGTTCACAATACGGCGCAATACATAAGGCTTCTGAATAGAAGGTTTTGTTATTTCTTTAGCGACTATTAATCTAATAATGTATTGCTGGATAGTTACAATCAATCCACAACAATAAAAATAATAAATGAGGCCGTACAGGCCTACAGTACCATACAGTGGGCCAGGCCAGGCCATACAGTGAGATGTGTGACATCTCACACATTGCCGGCCATCTGAATCCAAGCAAAGTAGAGCCTGTATTATGGTAACCAGGTTGCTAATAAACATACTTATACATATATAACTGAAAACGTACATATTACAGATAAATTACAACCAGACACAGAACAAATGATCGTGCTCATCACGTAATTATTTGTTGTAGATGGGACACGAACCTACGTCATCTTAGCAGTCAGGATAGCTAAGTAATAGACCAACAAGTCATTTGTTGTCTGTGCTCCTCTTTGTGCAAGTTATACGAATCACAATATTCGATAATTTTTTCGTCATTAACTAATTTCCCATTTTTATTTTTTTCACAGAAACCGTCTTGAAAGTAACGCGGAGCATTGGTCTGCGCTTCTGCTGTCACTCCGTGAGCTCACTGAGTGGGTTATCAGAAAGGAGACGGAGTTGAACGCTTTAGCACCTCCACGTGGCGACCTGCCGGCGTTGCTCAAACAACAGGTATGTATGCCTACGACCTCTCCCTTTACCCCCATTATCTCTCTCTTTCTTTCTCTCTTAAAACACTGATCTTTCTTGAGACATTTAGTGAACTCTGTAAAATACTATATTGGCATCGAACGCGCTACTTCTGACATTTAATTACTGCTCTACCACCACATCACATTGACAACATTAGAGATGACTAGGTCATTGCTCATCTTTTAGTCCTCACAAAGAAGTACAGGAACCTTCCCTCCTATAATACTAGATAGTAATTCTTCTCAAGTAACATAACCTTCAATTTGAACCTTATTCTGTTATTTATTCATTTCGATACGATTCTACTCTCACAGTTTCAAGCATTAAATAAATAAAAGACTGAAAAAAATCAAGCTGACACACAAAAGAGGGAACAAAGTAAAACATAAAGCTGGTTAAGCGCTTTCCACAAAGTTGTCGAGCCTAGAAATGTCTCTGTGAAGTGATTCTAGTACCCGTCAACTGGCTAAACGACGCCATTTTGGTCGCACTCGTGCCACAAAATGGACGACAAAGCAATTTGACCAGAAAATAATTGTCGGTGTTAGGACTTGTACATTTGTTCGATTTCCGTATGTTTAAGTATATACTGTACGAAATATATTAGATAAAAACTATAAACAATGTAAACGATATAGAATGTAGTTACAAGTAAATTGCCATTTGCTATTGTCATCAAAGAGAGGCCTTTCTAAGGAGAGGCCTATGTCCAGTAGTGCACTATTAAAGGCTGTTGATGATTGATGATGATTGTCATTAAAATAAATTATAAAGCTAAATTATTTAACTCACTTGTGTAGCTATATCAATGATTACAAAGGTTTCTTGAAACGACCGGCTGCAAGTGTTCAGGCACTAGGTAGTCAGCTTTACTCCTCGATAAAGGATCCCCGTTAGAGATGAAATTAGTCTGACCATCTCGAAATATACAGATGAGTGAACTGATGTGTTTTACCCCCCAACGCAAAAAGAGTTGTGTTAAAAGTTTGACTTATATGTGTGTCTGTCTGCGGCATCGTAGCTCCTAAACGAATGGGCTGATTATGATGAGGTTTTTTGGTTTGAAAGTTGACGTGTTCGAGATGGTTATTAGCTACAATTTTGTTAAGATCATCAGCCAATTCCTTAGTTGATAAAGAGATCTCGCTAACTTACACAAACTTCGATTGATTTGAAATTTGGTATACTGTTACTTTACTGTCCGTGTGGTGACGGATTAAGAATACGGTGTCGTAAGAGCCGACTAAGGGAGCAAACTACGCAGTACGACAGCACTGCTAAGAGGAGGAAAACTTGAAACAAACCCTATACCAACCCGTTTGGCCAGCGTGGTATAGTAGGCCAAAACGTCCTTTCTAAAGAGAGGCCTATGTCCAGCAGTGGACTGTTATAGGCTGTTGGTGGTTGGTGGTGGTGGTTATATTAATGGTATTTCAAAGATATGGTAACCTTGACCTTATATTGCAGCGAAACCTTGGGTTGATGTTGGTGTCGGGGTTGTTTTAAGGTTTTTATTTGTGTCATAGTGAATGAGAACACAAAATACACACTTGGGATTACCTGCCTAAAAGTTGACTGCCCAAAAACTAAAACATCAAAACATACATATTATGGAATAAAATATTCGATTGTTATTAACATCGTAGTAACATCGAATTTTCGTTGTTATATTTACTACCAAAATGAAATATGAAATGCGAAATTTAATTATACAAGAACTTCAATTGAAAAGTCAATGATCACCGCATTTTAGCGGTAAATAATTATTCCGCGCTAAGCTCGGATCACGTCAGCTAAATCACGCATTGGCGCCATTTTGGTAAAATGGAGGGTACGCCACGTGGCAAATGTTTAGATTAGGTTTTAGTGTTTACAATTAATAGTTGTGGTTCTTGTTAGCAAATTTGCATGTAATTGAAATTTGATGAAAGCTTTTAGTCTAGAATTTAGTAAATATTTATTAACACAGTCTACAATTTTTAGAAGTGTCAGTTTATAATTCAACAAAATGGATATACTTTGAACCACCTAATGTTATTAGTAATAAGATTAATACAAAATTAGTAGGCCAAAACCTCCCTTCTAAAGAGAATCCTATGTTCAGAAGTGGACTATTATAATGATGATAAAAACTAGATAACAAAATTAAACTCGTTTGCCACTTAAAACCATGAAATAGCGTATCATAATAAAAAGGTCTCTCCTATAAGTACCGTAATCTGGCAACATAAATGAATATATTTTAATTACATTTTTTCAATTTCAGGATGACCACCGCGCGTTTAGAAGACAACTAGAAGATAAACGACCCGTGGTCGAAAGCAACCTTCTCAGTGGCAGACAGTACATCGCTAATGAACAGCCGTTATCTGACACCAGTGACACTGAAGGTAAGCTGCCACCACTCTCATTTCAAATAATACTATACTGTTTTCTGCATTATATGTCTTGCTTTATTGTAGCCATTGGTTCATCTAGTTCGGAAAGCAATTGTAATATGTTTTCTAGTCCAGAGTCGCTAGTGGAGAACTCCTCCTGCTGTGGATTTCTTTGTTTCTTAGTATCTTTCTATAAGCGTCTGTCTTAAGCAAGTTTTTTTGGATAAGGAGCTGAAATTGGAACTGGAAGCATTTTATTATTATAACTAGCACCGGGTAGATAGATAAAATATTCTTTATTACACACCATATGAAAATATAATAGATCTAAAATTTAACCTAACTGTTAGGTTCAATATACAGACTTATGACTAATATCTCTGCCAAACAACTTTGGAATGCATTTACGTACTACATAATATTATAACAATATGTATACCTGTACACATATTTTTGTTTTTCTATGCATAATATGTATGTATTTACAAAAAAAAAGTATATATGTCTTTATATCAGTTGTCTAGTAGCCATAGTACAAGCTCTGCTTAGTTTGGGACTAGATGGCGTTGTGTGTATTTGCATACATTGTACAAATGTACATATTTTATGTACCTATCTAAACATATGTACATATCTAAAATCTTCGGTACCTTATTACCTTCTGTCCCCTTTCTCACCCCTTATTCTGCTCTGTAGCCAGTGTGGTGTCAGTATCAAATATGCAAATAAACCAGCCGTCCAACAATCAAGGTGCAAATTGTCCACCGATACGGAACGGTGCTCCGTGACGTCACTAGTGACGTCTACAGACAGGTATTGACATCGGAGTATCGATGTTCAGATGAATAGTTCCGTTGGTAAAATGAAATTTTCACCACATTTTTTGCGACGCTGACAGATGGGTATTCCTGATAGTTACTAAGTCCTCATGAGATGTAACCGCTAAAATACCTTCAAGATAAAATCATAGTATTTACACATTTTATTTATAAACTAAGCTAAACTAAGGGTGTCGTGATGTTAAATAGCCCAGAACCTTCCTAAAGAATTGGACTATCGAATTTTTGCTTTTTTAATTCGGACCGCTTGAGTTTTACTCGTTAAACCCTTTATATTCTAAGCCAGAAGCTATTAATAAATGAATTTAGTCACTAATCATCTTACTAAATATTATATACGAATCATTCACTAAACAACTAAAATTCAATCACAAAAGCGCAGCTGAAACAAAGCACAGAGCGAATGAAATGAATGACTGAGTGAATGAATGAACGAGTGAACGCAATTAGAATCGTACCAGCTTGCTAATTGCAAATTCCGTGCCGGCAAGCGGCCATGCTCAATCAATATAGTTTGCATTCACAAGGTGATAGCAATCGGCTTGCCAATCTAGCAACGCCAAGGATTGATTAATTGCGGAATGAATGGAACGATTATGTTTTTAAGCGGTCAGAGAGGGTTAAGTGGGTTATGATGGTCGACAGTTTGCGGTGTTTTACTTGCTGTCATTAAACTTAACCCTGCACTGCTCTTAAGATCACATACGCAACAATTATGTAATAAAAAGGTACTTTTATGGAAATGTTACACCACTTTGTGTGATCTACAAATTGTTGTACTGAGTCTGGGTGTTGTTTGTGTCCGTTTCATGTATGTTCGTAAAGTCCCCGCGACAGGAATGTATATTCCTAATGCGGGGATTGTCTTTTAAAAAGAAAAAATAATAATTTAAAACTGTTGAAATGCGATAGCTCAGCCATCTCTAGTATATTTTTATTTTCTCTTCTCTCTAGTATATTAATAATTATTCATAATCTATGATGCTACATTTTGTGGTACACTTTAAGAAAAACAATTGAAAATTAATTAATTCGAATCTAGATTTGATACTAATAATAGAAACATTATTTTGTAAACTATTTTACAAAAATACGAATTAACAAGTAAAATTCATGAATTAGAAATATGAATTTTTGTTCGACCTAAATTAATTACTTATATAATTTCTATACCACCCAAAGGTTGACTGGAAGAGAATGCCCTGGGCATTGACGGGCCGGTTGGTCTAGTGGTTAGTAACCCTAACTGCTAAATCGGAGGTCGTGGGTTCGATTCCCACCCAGAACAAATATTTGTGTGATGAGCACGATTGTTTGTTCTGTTTCTGGGTGTAATTTATCTATAATATGTATGTATTTAGAAATATATAAGTATGTTTATCAGCAGTCTGGTTACCATAGTACAGGCTCTGCCTAGTTTGGGATCAGGCAGCCGTGTGTGAGATGTGTAAGGTTATTATTATATTATTATTAAGTCCGCCGATGAACAAAAGTGAAAAAGTTAAATAAATAAATAATTTATTTGTCCTAGTATGTGACCACACTGTTCTGCACCAGCTGTAAATAGCAGAAACGGCTTGTCTTGTGAGGATCTGTCATCATCAGTCTGACACCTGCTACCGGCCATCTTAGCTAAGCTCTCGACTGACAGCTAATCCCGCATTCTCAAAGCTGGCACCTGCCAACTGCCATCTGCCAAATGTTGCCAACCAATAGATTGACTAACAAGCCACGTCAAAATTGACTGCCCGGTTGGTCTAGGGTGTCATTTATTTTAAAATAATGGCTGACATTAAACAATCCATACCCATAGAACTATAGATAAAGTCCATCAAAGAACTAATATCCTATTGAAAACTATTCGATAAAATTCTCAAGGAGTCGGCGCTATATCGATAAAACATCGGGGCGTGCGACGGAACGTCCGTTACGAGCTCTGGTTTAGTCGTAAATTTGAAAATCGAACCTCATGGGACCAATGGCGTGCGCGATTTGAAATACCTCGCCACCCTAGCGTAACTGTCATTTTTATCCTAGAATTAGAGGAGACAGGGCGCTTTTATTTGGTTTTCCAATTGTCACATGGGTTGTAGTAAAATCAATATTTATAATTAAATCAAATAAATATCAACGACAATAACTTAAATATTATATTACTTAAGAAAGTTTTTTTATCACTTTATAACTTAAATTCTATTAGAAATCTAGTAGACGTATTATCCAGTAGGAATTATACATTTTCTAGATGATTATAAATACGCAAGTAACAATGTCTGTCTGTCTGTTACACTTTGACGGCTAAACCGCTGAACCGATTTTAATGAGATTTGGCATAGAGATGCTTTGATAAGGAAGGACAGACATAGGCTACTATTTATTGCGATAATCGACATACATGCGGGCGGAACCATGAGAGAAAGCTAATTTTGTATCTATAACACATACTTGACTAAACCATAGCTAATATAGAATAAAATCTACTAGGCTTAGTAATACTTACATTCACTACAAGCGTATTTATACTTTTAGTAATTTTATCAAAAAATGTGTCTTTTATTGCTGTACAATTAGAGCACATAACTTGTAGCGAGCCTATAAAAGTTTATATTTTAACTAGCTAAGACCCGCGGTGTTACCCGCGTTTGTTGTTATAACCGAACTAGTGTAAAAAAAGTAGCCTAAGTTACTCCTTATCTCATCAGCTATCTGCCAGTGAAAGTCCCGTCGAAATCGGTCCAGCCGTTCCAGAGATTACCCGGAACAAACAGACAGACAGACAAACAAAAATTGTAAATAATGTTATTTTGGCATATGTACCGTGTAAACATACATATGCATTTAGTAAAAAGCGGTTATTTTAATATTACAAGCAGACACTCCAATTTTATTTATTTGTATAGATAATTTAAAAATAACATTCTTTAAGTAACATTTGAGGTCTTTGATTATTGCAGCGAGTCTTCGAAAATTCTTATCAGTACGATCATGAGCATTCATTCCCCCACAATACTAGTGTTCTTGCCCGAACAAACACAAAAAGTTAGAGGGCTCGAAATAGCCCAGTAATTCCTTAAATAGTCGTACGCGAGCCTGAAATTCTTGAAATATCAATCCATCCGTATGAGCAATATCTCTTAGCTATCTTAAAAACATTGCCTTTAATTACACTCTTTATATTAGCTTCACTTGTATGTTAGTATGTTTGTTTGTAACCGACTCCTTTGGGCGTGATTTTGACTGACTTTAAACGGTCAGAGCTCGTTCAAATTTTGTAGATATATCGAGGACCGATGACAATACGCTAATTTAAAAAATAAAATAAGATAAACGTTTTAAAAAACTAATAAACACGCTTTTTATAGAAAACCAAGCTAAAAAATAGAAAATAAATTATAATAATTTTGAAAAAAAAGCGTTGGGTGCCTGTTGTCAATAGTAAAAAGCACCCCACGCTTTTTTTAACTTCTATTCTATCTTATACATAAAGTATCTGGTTGACGGCTATTATATCTCATACCTTAAATATCCGGTTGTAGGGTTCTGTTACATAAGTGGGACTAAAATGATAGTCGACAAAATCTGGGCGTTTAATATCCTTCTGTCTGTTCATGCTTTTGTAAATGTATAAGAAAATTCAATTGCAGTTCAATTTTATTTTTAAAACGTTGGCCGAACTTTATTGCTTCCATAGCTTTAAAAGTCAGACCGCTGCACTATGCCAGATGGTGCGGATGTTTCAAAACGTGATTTTTAGTGTTTCGGCTATTGAATATTTTATCTCTTTCTTTCGTTTCGAAATAGGAATGCGATGAAAACAGACAAAACGATTAGGAGATAAATAAAAATAGATAGAGATAGATATAGATTAAAAAACATTTAAAATTAGAACTAATACGGTTTCTAGTTCTATTTATTATATAATAGTAATATATATTAATAATATTCTACCACATTCACACAACGCCATCTAGTCTCAAACTAAGCAGAGTTTGTACAATGGGTACTAGACAACTGATATAAATACATATATACTTTTTTTGTAAATACATACATATTATACATAGAAACACCTAGACCAAATCAAACATAAATGTTCATGCACACAAATGTTTGACTTGAGCAGGAATCGAACACTAAGCCATCCGGTCGCCAAATATATATATATATATATATATTATCTGTTATCACTATAACAAATGACATAACTAGAAGTTGGAATAAATTTTAAGTATTTTCTTAATCATAACAATTTCTCAGTGGTACTTTTAGAATACAACTTACAGAGAAAATATTCAAATAACCCTCCTCTGTATCCAATATTTCAGGACTACAGACAACCGAAATCCCTTAACAAGCATTTCGCGCCAAAAGCTACAAATATATGCTTACAACTAGAGATGTGCAAAAAGTTGACTAAATTTGTAAGTCGATTGGGTATCTTCGCGGGTAGCATTTTTGAAATAAAAACCGAAAGTCTTCTTTTTTATATTTTTCTAGGAATTTCTTTGTGTTGTGTAATTTAAAAGACGAATTGTCGATACTTGATTGATTATCATTTAGTATATTCGTTAGAATTAACTGTCTTCGTACTAATTTTTTACACACACATCACATCAACTAGAGCCTGTACTATCGTAGACTGCTGATAAACATACTTATATATTACTAAATACATACATCATCATCAACAGCCTTTAATAGTTCACTGCTGGACATAGGCCTCTCCTTAGAAAGGAGGTTTTGGCCTACTATAACACGCTGGCCAGACGGATTTTAATTAATTAATGTAGTTCAAATTACATTGTATTTATCATCAGACGGAGTACTACTGAGTACTACTTTAGTCTACTTTAGATTTACTCTTAAACATAATGTACTTTGTCTCTGGTTGTATTGACTTTTGTTGTTTGTTATAATAGAAACATTTTATAACATAAAAATATTTGTGGCCCTGAAAAGGGCCTTTTGCTTTGCTTTCGAGGAGTCTCATAACCGCAGACACACACACATTACACGTGTAAGTAACGCTCTGTGGTGGTGGTGGTGTCCTCCTCACTTGGAGCTGGTGTACTTGGTGATAGCTTTGGTGGCCCCGCTGATGGCGTGCTTAGCGAGCTCGCCGCCTGGCAGCAGGAGCCTCACGAAAGTCTGCACTTCCCTTGATGTGATAGTGGAAAACAGTGCCGTTGTCTTGCGTAGTTTGCTCCCTTAGTCGGCTCTTACACACTTAATTTTTTGTGAAGACGCCATTGTTGTTTCTCATGCCTTACCAGCCACCTTTCATAAAGCTTTCAGGACATCCGTGGAGGTGGTTATGTCGAAATCATACTGATATATATAAGACATAATGTTCTGTCAGTGGTGTCTATGGTCCGACCCCAAGTTCAATTGACCTCATTCTGCTGCAGAAATCGTCTTGCATCCTGTTTTTAATTCTCCTTCTTTAGCCGACTGGCTTTTAGAAGTGTTTTTAAGCCTTTAAACTTTCTATAATATTTTTCTATGTGTATTTAAACTCAAGTCACATTTATACAAAGCCTATTTATAAACCGAGATACGTTCAAAAGAACGATATAATATTTTAAACATTATTTTCAACAGAACTATGGAAAACAAAATTAAAACCTTCGCTAACAGAATTATGAAATAGCAAAAAGGAAAAATGTTGCAAGATTAAAAAAATTGAATAATATTTCGGTCCACGGCGTCGCTGTCGAGTGCCTCGTTTAGGTTCGTGCACCAGTGATAAAGCAAGTGGACTTGAAATGTACTTGTTTTATAAAAATAGGCCAGTTATTAGTCTTTGCGGTTGTTTTCTGAGCTTATTTAAGACAACTCCAAACTTTGATGAATATGCATTGGTTGTGCAATCAGAGTTTGGTAAAAAATTGTTGGAACGTGAGGTTTAGTTCAGTTTTAATAGAAGAAGAATCTTATATGGCCACCTGACGGTAAGTGACCACCTTCACCCGATCTGCAATTTAATACATCACACATTGCTGGGGCATCTCTTATTCAGAAGAGTACGAAAGGGAAAAAAAACCGATCAGGTACGAGTCGAACTCGTGCGCCGAAGTGCCGTACCTACCCAGATTTTTGCAAAAAGTTTGTAAGTACCAAAATTTATCTTAATTTTCAACTTTTTTATTTTTTGGAATTATTCCTTTATTTGTGCTATAAGACATTTCTTTTTGCCAAATTTCGTGATTCTAGGTCAACGGGAACTACCATATATTATGTTTTCGACCCAAAACCTATAGGGTACTTTCGGTTGACCTCGAATTGTCAATTTTGGTACACAAGTAAAGAGAAAACTCTGAAAAATACATAACTTGAAAATTAAGGTAAATTTTGGGACTTACAAGTTTTCGCGAAAATCGAAACTTGCCCATATCTTTTTATCGTGTTGACTCAGGACCTTGATTTTTATACAACTAATAGGGATCATAGACTTCAGTATCTGGTATAAATTTCAACTTGCTCGGTCTACCCGTTCCTGAGAAAATCGGTGGTGACACACGGACAGACGGACAAGAAAGTGCTGAAGGGTTCCGTTTTTACCTTTTGAGGTACGGTACCCTAAAAATTACTATTACGAGCAAAGTCAGATGCAAAACGTATTATATAAACTTTAAGATTGTATTTTAATATATATAAAGGTAATATATATTTCCAACTTAAACAACTCACATAAATTTCGCTAGGTGTTTCAATAAACGTTGATTAACTGCCAGAGAGTTGAGTCTAAACCATTTCAGTTTAGTTCGTGTTCTAAACGGTGCGGCCTAACGATGTGATTAATATATACCTTTTGGAGACGACTAGACTCGCTGTAATTACTTCTATCTTTTGTTGTTTGATTTTTACACCCTTTCACAACAAAATTCGGCATTTTTACTCAAAAATATTGTTGACGTTTTGACGAAAATCGGTGTTAAGCAAGTTGTTTTTCACTGAGTGAGTCAATCCACCGGAGGCACTCAGTACTCCCCCCCCCCCCCATTTTTAAGTAGAGGGGTTTGCATACCATGTTTCTGTTGACCTGCTACTCCCTATACCATAGAAAAACTATGATTAACACCTATTCAATAATATTCTACCACGTCACACAACGCAAACACATAAGTAGAAATTTTACATAGAAACCCATACCTTATCAAACATTAAATGTTCATGCACACAAATGTTTGAATTTAGTGGGTATCGAACTTGTGATCTATGGCATAGCAGTCCTTTAAGTCCATCTAATTTCGCCGATTTTCTGCATTTATTGTAACTGTTAAACGTCTGTGCAAGGCAATACATAACATTAAATTTGTTTAACAGCGAACCGCGAGAACGAAGGTGATTCCCGAGGATATCGCTCTGCAGAGGAGCAGGCTCGGGAGCTGGCCAGATCCATCAGGAGGGAAGTCGCCAAGCTAGCGGATAAGTGGAACTCTTTGGTGGACAGAAGCGATGCCTGGGGGCGGTGCTTGGATGACGCTGTACAGGTATGTGGATTCTTTTTAAATAGTATTCAATTTTTTTTAAACTAAGACCTGTTATAATCTTATATATAAAATTCTCGTGTCACGGTGTGCGTGGTTGAACTCCTCCGAAACGGCTCAACCGATTTTCATGAAATTTTGTGTGCATATCGGGTAGGTCTGAAAATCGGCCAACATCTATTTTTCGTTATTTTTTTGACAATTTTTTTTGAAATAATGTATATGACGAAACAACGTTTGCCGGGTCAGCTAGTACAAATTATAAAACAAATGTGTTTTTATATTGCCATTAATAGAAATTTGTAACAGCGCCATCTGTTGTTTCAAGTAGCAACTTTCAATCGACAGTAGGCGTTGGATTTATATTATGCAGCCTTCTTTATCAACATAGATGGCGCTATGTGGGACCAAAAATGATGAAAACACATCTTCATAAGACCTCATTCAATCAGCTGTTGAGCCGGACATCCTGTACGACTGAATAGGATATTATGCTATTGATTTTGTTCTATTTGTATGGACATTTATTTCCTGACTCATGTTCTAGTTTGATTAAGATATGTAGACGGCAATATTTAATTCTATGCTCGTGTAGATGTGTCTATGAACGATCTTGGCTGAAAGACTCGATATAGATAATAAATTTTTGAAATGAATGTATCATCAACTTCAAGACATAAAAAATTTAGTAAATGGTATTTTTCTACCGTTAATTTCACATGCTTAGAGGTGGAATTTTAATATAACTACAAAAAAAACTAATTTTTTTTTTTATTTTTTTTTTTTTGAAAAAGACAGCTCCCGCATTAGGAATACATTCCTGTGTCGCGGGGGACTTTACAAACATACATGAAACGGACACAAAGAACACCCAGACTCAGAACAACAATTTGTGGATCACACAAAGTGTCGTCCCATGTGGGGTTTGAACCCACAACACTCGGCGTAGTAGGAAGCGGCGAGGTGACCGCTTAAACCACTACGCCATCCGTGCAGTCTGTTAAGAAACAATTTGTTAAGAAACAGCTAAAATATCGCTTTATTAAAAAAGCTCGAGTATTTAGGACAAAATAGAAAACAAATTTGACAAACTAAAGTTGCCCTCACGATGGTACAGTAATTTACAACCGGCGGTCATCGCTTGCCTCCATAGAAAAAAACCAATTTTATAAGCTACTAACGAACGATAATTAAATTAGACTATGCAATAGTATTTTGACATTTTGTTAATTTTATTAGTTAATAGTAATCATTAGTTAATGTTTTGAGTCTCTATATAAATATTTGCATGCCAGTACACGCAGAATATAGCTTGAACAATATAAACCTTTGTAAAATCTGGTTCCACCTGCATTCTCTGCAAATAAATGTTTCTTTCTTTCTTTCTTTCTATAATTAAAAAGAAAAGACATCCATATAAAAACGTCTTGTATATTTCAATAAAATGGCTGCACGTATGGCGTACCTAGTGGTTTAAAAGGTCGCCATGCCACTTACTACTACGTTAAGTGTTGTGGGTCCGATCCCCACATGGGACGACACTTTCTGTAATCCACAAATTGTTGTTCTGAGTCCGGGTGTTCCTTGTGTCCGTTTCATGTATGCTTGTAAAATCCCCCGCTACACAGGATATATTCCTAATGCGGGTTAGTTACCTTTAAAAAAAAACACATTCCATCTCAGCAACAAGTAGGTACATATGTTTATGTTGAAATAAAGCAGGAACAACAGAACACAATGGCAATATGGCGCCGGATCGCGCCGCGCCTTAAATAGCTACGGCTCAATCAACTATGTATTGCTAAAACATCCTCACACTAACATTTAACAACACTAGATGTGTCAACCAACATATACTGTAAACTCCAACCCAAAAAGGAGATGTTTCTGTGGCATTATATCTCCTAATCGGGTGAACCGTTTTTTGTTAACAACGTGATTTGATTGAGCGTGTTTTTGGCAATAATTTAAAGAAATCTGACTGTTTGATGATCATCAGCTCTCTTTCTTATCGATGTCATTAATTTCGGTAGGATTCGTAAGTCCGATGAATATTAAATTATATCGCAATAATACGGAAACCTTGAGCTGATGATGAAACATAATCTATAATCAAGGGGCATGTTTGAATTCATTAGAATAGATTTAGGTTACTGATAGAAGATAGATTTTGGACTTTTTACATTCGTAGGAGAACCTGCATAATGCATTATAACTATAATATTTGGCTTCATGCTTTAATATTTCATATTAAACTTTATCGAACTTAAATTTTATCATTTGATTAAAATGATATTAATTTGACTTGCCCATTTCCTACCCTAATCTGACTATTGTGTCGTGATTAATCTCGTGCTTCAGAGAGCACGATGAGCCCTCGGTGCCAACGGCAAGGCAAGTCAACAGTCTATCTACGGAACTTCGATATAGGCTAGTACTTAGGCCATGAAAGTCTGATAGCAGTCGGTCCATGTACAAAATCGAAGTTCAGTCATATGAGGAACTGCTCGGAGGATGATGAGGATGATACTAGTCATATCTAGTTGTAATAACTCTACGTTACAAAGTATGTGTTACGAGGTGCGTCTGTTTCGTTAATTGTCATTGGTGCAGTCAAAGTTCGCTGCACAGCGCCGATACGGGACACAAAGCTTTGTTCGAGAAACAAACGCCACTTCTCGCTTTTACGCTTCATCAACAGCCTTTAACAGTCCACTGCTGGACAAAAGCCTCTCCTCAGAAATGAGGTTTCACGCTTATTCAACGTAATATATCTACGTTTTAAATATATCATTCTGGCATCTTACACGGTTTTAAGACAGCTATCGTGTACTTACGGTCCTGTAAAAACGATAAACAGTAAATGTTACTATAGGGACTCATAGCTAAGTGATAACCGAGTAGTTTAAGACAAAGTTAAGCAACACTAGCCAGGTCAGTCTATGGATGGGTGACCATTCTTAACACTTTGAGACCCCTCCGTGCCTCAGAAAGCACCTCATAGCATCTGTGGCAGTCGTACGGGTAGTTGGAGACCTAAAAACTCCGACAATAGTCTTTCTACAGAACTTCGATATCACCTAGTACTTGGGTTGTGGAGGTCTGATGGCCTGAAATCAAAGTTGAACCGTATCGTAGTGGAATTAAAGCAGACCCAAACATAGCTTAGGAAAAAAGGCTCGGTGGACGAGCGGATGGCGTAGTGGTTTGTGTAACGGACTGCTATTCCAAAGGTCGCGGGTTCGATTCCCGCTAAAGTTTTGTGTGGATGAACATTTAATGTTTGATTTGGTCTGGATGTTTCTATCTATACAAATACAAATAAATAAAATTGGAGAGTCTGTTTGTAATATTAAAATAACAGCTTTTTAATAAATGCATATGTATGTTTACACGGTATATATGCCAAAGTAACATTTTTTATAATTTTTGTCTGTCTGTCTGTCTGTTTGTTCCGGGTAATCTCTGGAACGGCTGGACCGATTTCGACGGGACTTTCACTGGCAGATAGCTGATGACATAAGGAGTAACTTAGGCTACTTTTTTTAGACTAGCTTCGCCCCGCGGCGTTGCCCGCGGTTATAACAACAAACGCGGGTAACACCGCGGGTGTCAGCTAGTGTATAATATGTATGTATTTACAAAAGAAAAGTATATATGTATTTGTCCGTTGTCTAGTAGCCATAGTACAAGCTCTACTTAGTTTGGGACTAGATGGCGTTGTATGAATGTGGTATAATATAATTTTAAAAAATAAATAAGGAAGTCAATGTTACTACAAACATACAGATACAAAACACGTTGTATATATCACGGGCTTTTCAGTTTAACGTATTATGTCGTTGGCTGTGCGTAGACTCATGGAAGCTCAGTGTTGCAGCCGTCTCCACTTGGCTGCATCAACACAAAAGCGCCACAGATCGGTAAAGAGCGCCCATTGTTTAACCAGAATGTGGATTCGACCCGTTCCTATTTGTTAAATGCTGATTCGTACGTGTATTTAATTGAAATGTATTGTTGATTTGTTTTGTTATGTGGTTCACACATTTTACGGCAATAATTATGAACATGTTTTTTAAGTGTTTTAGTGTTTGAATTTATAATGAACACACATCAAAGTATCGTAGAAAACAAGTAATTTCTTTAGTAAATTAACGTTGCCAGGGCTCATTTGTTCTGAGCTTTAACATGTGCTAAATGACTACCTGACTGAGCCACTACACTGCTCGCATAGGCAAAGGTAACCGTTTACCACCAGCTGACACTAATTCTTTACTGCCATCTTGGTCGACCATAACTTTTTTTTTATTGTATAAGGGGGCAAACGAGCAGACGGGTCTCCTGATGATAACCCACTACCGCCGCCCATGGACACCTGCAACTCAAAAGTCACAAGTGCGTTGCTGCCCTTGGAGTCCCTCCCGCTCGAGTCAGCGGGAGGAGGGATTAGGGCTCCGGTAACCTCACTTACTCAGTGAAAGGCAACGAAAGAGGAAGAAGAATTCTTAACACCGGTTTTCTGTGAGGCAGTGATATCACTCCGGTCGAGCAGAAACGAAACTGAAAACGCTTCGGTTTTTCTGAAAGGAAAGAGTTGCCATCTCAATTTTCGTAGATGACAATCCGAAAGACCCCAATAGTGTTACCAGTTTAATGGCACATTAAAGGACACAAGCAGTGCACTTATTTACGAACTGAGTTTAATAATTTAAGTAAAAATCATATCAACTGACTTGCTCTCCAAAATTTAGTTGCGGTAAAAAAACAAAAACACAGCACAATTAAAACGCCATCGTAAAACCGTATCAGCAGACACAAGCGGTATTCATCACAAATACACGACACGGCGTATTAATTAGACACATTTTTGCACTCTGTATGGAGCTTCGTATGACAGAAAATTTTCCTTGCAAAGTCACGCTCTGAGCATTTATTCTAGGTATAAACAGGGAGACCACGCAAAAAGAATAAATGGGAAAATGGGTTAAGGGTTAGAGTCAACGAATAATAACTTATAGCCGCCTAATCCCAAACTTGCTTGAGAATTACCTGACTGCTCAAAAAATCTAAAAATATATTGCTAAATACATACATATTATACACCTAGACACGAAACAAATGATCGAACTCTATTTTTTGCCACTGTTTTTTTATTCATTATCTTCATCAACAGCCTAATACTCCGCTGCTGGACATAGGCCTCTCCTTAGAAACGAGGTTTTGGCCTATTATACCACGCTGGCCATACGGGTTGGTTTAGGGTTTGTTTCAAGTTTTCCTTCTCCTTGTAGTGTTGTTGTCATGTTTACTCCCTTAGTCGGCTCTTACGACACCCACTAGATGAATAATAACCCATAAAGCTGAATGCTAAAATTGAACACCAAGTACCACAGCAACAAACAAAGACATGGTTTAAACTTTAAACCAACGAAAGTCAACAACATATGAGTGAATGAAATGGGCTCTCAGACATCCGCTCAATTCAAAAACCGGAGACATGTCCGGTTTAATCGAAGCTTATGGCGACACTAATCTGCGTACAGTGATGAGCCGTGTGCCCGCATACATTATTTGGAGATCTGAACGTGTGTTTACATTGTATGGCGGGCTAGTAATGACAGCCAAGCGTGGGATTAAAAAATATAGCTGTACAGAGCGAAACTAGGACTAACTGTTGAAATGCAGACTCAGAACAAATAGGTACTTATACTAACATGATGTATACTCTTATAGTTTAATAAACAAGTTTTTAATTTAGTTATATTGAGCTGACGAATAATTATTATTGAACACGCTAACTGTTTGAAATACTCAGGATCAGAATATTCGTTTTCGCACATGATGGGCCATTTGGTACATTTTCTAACACTATTCTGATTGTTTTTGGAGTCGGCGCAAGGGGTTTTTCTAAAGAGATACCTCAAAGCTCTAATGGGAAACGGTACTGCGACTGACACCCGAAGATGTGTCCTTTTGTGATTGCAGACCACTTGGACACATACAGGAACTGGCTGGCCCTGGCTCTGGACAACTCCCGCATTAGGAATATATATCCTGTGTCGCAGGGCATTTTACAAACTCAAAACAACTATTTGTGGATCACACAAACACTCAGCGCAGTGGGAAGCGGCGTGGCGACCGCCAAAACCAGTACGCCATTCGTGCAGTCTGCACATATTTGTTTTTTCCATGTATACTCGTAATATGGATGTATTTACAAATAGTAGTTAGTTAGTTTAAAACTAGATGGCGTTGTGTGTCAGATGGTTGAAAAACAAATTAAACTCGGAAACTAATCCAATTCTGGAGTCTGGATAAGTTCCCCATTTACAGGGCGACAGCGCACTTTTGAATCTTGAGTTTCAGATGTACAGGGGTGGCGGTAATCATTTACCGCACTTTTTGTGACATGTCTCCTCATTTGCCCCCTATCCCTTAAAAATAAAAAACAGTGGCACTCTGGAAGTGCCGACAAAAATGAAATTTTAATTTTCATTAAAAAAATTTCTATTATAACAGGATAAGTTTTTTTTGTATTATACACAATATGTGATTTTACTACTTATATATAGAGGAGTCGGTAACGGTAACAGTGTCGCGCGTTCAATGGTTAGTTGTTCAACATGCCCAAAGCGCCTAAAGAAGTTTTCACTTCAAAAACACAAAATAATCATAAATCAATAAACACAATATACATTTTAATGATGTTTTGAAATAATATAAATATAACAGTACATTTAACATTTTTAAAACTGCAAATCCATTTTTCACAAAAATAAAAATAAACACCAGCCGGTGAGTAATGGCGGCCAGAGAACCACAGATAGCATAGAATTGAATTTATAATGCGGGCCATTCAAAGGCCGATATGTATGAGTGACTGTCGATGTTGGCAATTTTAAAGCTGTATGTTATTGGAATAACAAGTTATGTTGATTTTGTTAGTTAGGAAAACAAACATAAGTTGTATGTGAGGAAACTGAGCATTTGACAGGCCTGTTCGTTTAGTGGTTAGTGATCGTATCGCACACCAAGGCTTGTATCATCATCATCACATCAACAGCCTTTAGCAGTCCACTGATGGACATTGGCCTCTCCTTAGGACGCTGGCCAGATGGGTTGGTATAGGGATTGTGTCAAGTTTTCCTGTTCTTTGCAGTGCTGTTGTTCTGCGTAGTTTGCTCCCTTAGTCGGCTCTTACGACAACCATGATGAATAGGGGTTTTAACACTCCGTATTCTTCATTCATCACCACACGGGCGGATATTTTTATTACTTAAGTTATACAGCAACAGTGATTTTAAATAATGTAATTTAGGAACAGGATTTTAATAATTAGGAATAGGATTTATGAAGAGATTCCGTGAAATGCCTTGTAAGGGCTGTATGTGTTGTATGCTTTAACACTTATTCAAGGAATTTTCATTGAATACATTATACAGAACGTACAGACATGATTCTAACTGTAAATAAAGTAAACAAAGCCTTTTTCAGTTACTTTTGCTACAACTACCTGTTTTGTTTCTCTGCTAGTAAAATATATAATTAATTATATAATTATATAATTTACCTCGGTAGTGCAGTGGTAGCGTATGCGACTGCTGAGGTCTCGAGTTCTATTCCAGGGTCGGACCAAATGTTTATATGATCTGCAAATTGGGTGTTTTTTATGTATGATATGTTACATACATTTTTACAAAAAAAAAGTAAATAAGTATTCTATCAGTCAATCTAGCTTTCATAGTACAAGCTCTGCTCAGTTTGAAACTGGCGTTGTGTGGTAGATATCCGAAATATTATTATTATTATATATATTTAACAAACAAATTGATGACTTTTTTACACTGAATAAGAAATAAAATCTGCAGCAGTTAATGGGATTATGCTGAAATCCTAGATAGAGGATTATGTAAAGGCAAGTAACAAAAAATATTAAATTTTGTAACGAATTGAATCGATCGTAGTGCTAACGAGCTCGGTTCTTCGTGAATCTTTTATATAGGGATGTTACTGTCATAATAATGTTTATCGATATCGATAAAATATCTTTAACGCCCACCACGCTTTTCCTTTAAAAAAAAGAAATTTTTCAAGCACACGTAATGGTGTATATTTGCGCCACTTCTGAGAAGGTTATTCCAAATATGATTATTAAAGTTACATCCTGACAGTTACGATTTTGTAATTATTGTAATACCTATACAACTTTTATTTTTATTCAGTTAGGTTTATTAAATTTTTATAAAGAACAAAATTTACGTCATTAATATTAGCGTGAAATGCCTTCTAAGTGTGGTAAACGGTGGGGATTAAAAATACACTGCAGTGTCAAGATTTGTGATAGAAATAAAGCGATTGCCGGCAAATGACAAAAAGAAGAATTAATAGCGAAAAGTGACTGATAGAACTTACAATGCTCCTATTAGTTAGTAAAACAGTGTAGTCAGAAGACGTATACTGGTCACATCAGTAGTATGCTGATGACGGGAACTGGCAACTGGCAAGATATTGATTTTATCGATACGACCGATCCCAATCCCATCCCTAGTACTCATCGCAAGTGGTCGCATAACGACGTCGATAACGAACCGCCGTGCATTGTTATCGACAAAATGATAAGCAACCTGATATGGCCAGGATTAGTGCTGTATTGTGCTGTATACACTCAAATAATATACAGCTTTCGCTTTGAGATCTCTAGAAAACTTATCAAGAGACAATAGTACGTTGTCGCCCTTTAAATGTAAAACGTGTGCTTGTGTTTGTGGGCGTATGCGACTGCATAATGTGTGTGTGTGTGCGTGTGAGAGAGACACAGAGAGAGAGAGAGAGAGAAAGAGAGAGAGAGAGAAAGAGAGAGAGAGAGAGAGAGAAAAGTTCCACCCCTTACTACCTAGCAAAAGACACTACAGATTTTTTAGGTTAAACCTGTAGATTCTGATCAGGATAATCGGCCGAATTTATCAAATTATTGTATTGTCCTTGATAAGTACACGAATTCAAAATCACGTTCGAAGAGTC